GCTGTACAGCATTTAGTGAGCCTCCTCACACCACTAGCATCTTTTTCAGCTGGTCCCCTGCTGAGGGTGCTTCAGTCTGGGTGGTCCCAGCTACACCCTGCAGCATTTTTCAGTGTTGTCAGCAGTCTGGAATAGGGTCCTTTCTTCAAAGCTCCTGGCTTTGTTTCCCAGCCTAAGTTACAGAAGTCTTGTGGAAAATGGTTTGGAGGACAAGAGGCAGCGCTGATAATGGGAAACGTCTGTGAAGGATTGGAACATTGGCTTGTAATCCCTGGACAAAACTGCCTCATTCAGAAAAGGGGAGGGGGGGGGAAGCGCGCAGAACAAAGCTCTTGTTTCACTTTGTGAAACGAACACATGATGTTTTCTCTGGAATGTCTCACTGACAAACAGGACCAGCTTTTCCAGGGACTATGGCTCAGATAAGGCCATAAATGGCTGAAAGGAATTTAGATTCACAGCTAATGTTAATTTGTCATTTCCAGGGGCAGCACAAACTCAGCCACGCCTTTGACAGATTTGAGTTTCATGAGGAGCAGGGCAGCGTGAAAGGCCTCTTAATACACTGGCCCCAGAGATTCTCACCAGATCTAGCATATCCCATGTACAGATATGCATGGGGACAGAGCTGATAAAGCATGCCTCCATCCTGCCTAGCATATGTCACCTACCTGTTGAGACAAATGACGTTTCCTCCTCAGCTGGGACATGCAACCAAGAGAGGTACCAACAGGAGCCAAAACTGTTAAGGCAGGTGTTCTGTCTTGAGCAAGCCCTTGTGAATCTGTGCCTTTCAGCTGGAACCTGCCTGTCCCCCTTTCCAAGCCCTCTTACAGACCTTTTGTCCTTTCCTTTTGTTCATCTATCACAGCCTGTTGTGCTGCCAGAAAGGAATCTGCCTTCCCCTCTGCCATGTCATCAAACAGTTCAGCAGTCTCTCTGCCGCACTGCAGTGGCCCTGAGAAGGTAGCACAACATCAGAGCTCTCCGTCCCAGTCTTCCAATTTCTACTCTCCTGGGATAAGTTGTCCAGCTTGCAATAACAACAAATTATCCATTTTGTCTTTTGTCACTAACATTTCCAGTCCAAAAGCTTTTTCTCACGCAGATTGAAATCAATGACCTTTTCTTTTGGATTAGCTTTCTTTACAGCTTTGTGTACAGCTATTTATCCTGTTCTTGCACGTAAAAGGTCTGGCATAAATCCTGACCCACAGGGACAACCTGGCTGCAGCAATTTAAGGCCAAAATGTTCGAATGCAGATGTCTGAAGTCAAGCATTTTGTCTATTCTTAAAACATAATGCAATAGCCTGACTTGCAAGAGCTCAGCAACTGCATTTGCCACCTCTGTGGTAAAGCGGAGGGTGCTTATCATCTCCTGGGGAATGATAACTTGGACTGGAATGATAGCATTGGGCCTCTGTGTGGGGGAAAGTCAAAACCCTTTGGTTTCCACTGCTTAGCCCAGTGCTGGGAGGGGAATGTATGATTTCATAACATTGCTAAGCAATGACAAGAGCTGGTCTCTAGGGTGAGCTGTATTTACTAACACATTGCACATTTTTCTGGCTTAACAGAACAGTTTGTCATTTTATAAGAGTCCTGAGGTAATGTTTGTGTTCTAGATCAGATGCCCAGACTCACCCTGCCAACTCTCAAGCTTTTTCGTGGACAACCAGAACAGCCACCCCAAATCTGTGTCCTGAATACTTCAACTGTCTGTACTTCAATAAGACTGTGTAGACCTCACCTCCCAATCTCACAGATGCATAGTGACTCACAGAACTGCTGTTCCACACCCAGCCCCAACTGACCCAGGCACAACTCACACGACCCGAATACATCCCATGCAGTGAAATTCCTAAAACATCTTCTAGCAATCATCTCAAGGTCTGCTGAGGTATGGGACAAATAGCTGAACGTGTTTGAGCATGTTCTGTGCTAGCAAGTTGCCCATGCTTGAAGATGAGAAATAGCACCGTTACTCAGAGTGTGGGTGGGAGAACCTTGGAACAGCTGTCCTATGGGCCATAGACCTGACCTGCAAGCGGTCTAGAAGATGTTTTTGTACAAGCATAGTGTAAGGGTAAGGAGCAGTTGGCTACAGGGAGTGAGTTTGAGATTCTCTGACAGTTCTGTAATGGTGTTGAAAGCCAGGACATGCTAAAGCTATTTTTTGAATGAGCTGGGGATACCTTGAAGTTAGGAGACATCTCCAGCCAGAGCTGCTGCGCAGAGGTTCACCCCACAAGTCTCTGAGCTCCCATTTGTCACAACTGGATTGCATGGTGCTGAGACATACAACTACCTCCACACAAGGTCATCCCAGATCTCACCGGGCTCATTAACTTTGCTTCCATACTCTCCCTGCCTGGGACCTGTCTACAGATACTCCAGTATGCTACGTAGAGATCATATTAACACAGACGCTCTGATACCTCAGCTATGGGACATCTGGCACACCTTAATTACCAGCATCCTTATCTGATATCCCTGAGCAAACTGTCCTCCCTAGCAGACTGCTTTCTGAAGAAGCATTGTCCAAAGGCTCTTCCACAGTACCTCCTCTGCTCAGCAATGAAACAACTCTTCAGCTTTAGTTGGAAGCAGAGCTGGAGGGGGTTTTAAATGCTGCAGGGAGGGGAGAAAGGCATGGCTGCAAAAACATGGGAAGGGGAGTAATCAACACATACCCTTGAAAGGCCTTCTGGCTCTTGGCTCTAGTATTTGGTAGGCCAGAGCTGCAAGTTCCACAGCCAAGCCACCAGTGATGATCTTTGGTTGGAGCCTGCTTCTGTACAGTGGGACGGCAGGTATTAGTACCTCTCTGGGGAATTCATCAGGATCTCTCTGTCAAACGTTAAGCTTGCCCCTGTGTGAGAACAGCATTTTGTAGGTGAGAGAAGTGAGCGTGGCACATGGAAGACCTGTGTTTCATTGCACATTGCATTCTAATCGATAGATCAGAATGCACATCTGAGCTCAAGACATCCCTGGGTTGATTTCCTGCTACACTTACGAGCACAAACACACTGCTGTTTGAGCTAATGGTGAAAGTGCCCTTAATGGTGTGAAGCAGGATTTGCCAGTGGTAAACAACTGCTTGCTGCATAGCAGTAGCTTGCTGGGAATGGTGTGCCTAGGCTTATCGCATGGAAAATGACAGTCTAGTACGTGACATAGTTCATTGATACAGGAAAGATAAAGCTGCTGAAATTTCATGCTGTTGTAGAAAAGTCCTGGGTTTGACCATATCCTCTTCCAGAAGTGACCTTACGAATTTCTCTATAAGCATGTCTGCAAAGTGAGGAAGATAACGGGGAAGAAGTAGAATGAAGTGATGATTGTTTCCTCACTTATGGAGAATAATGTGGTATTTAACAGCATGTGCTGTGAAATGCACGCAACATTTGTAGGTATGGAGATGAGTCAGGACTCCATCTTCAAGTGTTTCTCCATGGCAGTACGTATCTGTATGCTGGTTTGTGACGTAGCCTGCACGATGGATGACTTATCTTATCTTGATGCCATTCTCAAGACCTATTTTGCCAGCAACTGTCCACTGCAGTAGAAAAATCTCCTTTTGAGGAAAGATTCCTCACACGCAGGTAGGCATTCTCTACCTTGTGTTGTTTCTGTCTTCCCAGGTGCAAGACTTCGTATTTGTTCTTGTTATGTTTCTTAACTGACCATGGTGACCTACCTGATACTTCCTGGGGGGTACTGTGGTCCTATGAGGGTCACTGATACAGGCAAGATGTCTGTGTCAGAAGGTCAGAAAGTCCTTTCACCCTGTTCCAGTAGCTCCAGGCATTTCTGCAGCTTTCTTCAACAACTGCAGAGTCAAAAGCAGGAGCATTTCACTAAATGATGGCGCGTTATGGTGAGCATGGTGAGACATTGGAACAGGTTGCCCAGGGAGGTTGTGGATGCCCCCTCCCTTGGAGGCATTCAAGTCCAGGCTGGTTGGGGCTTTTGAGCAACCTGGTCTAGTGGGAGGTGTCCCTGCCTATAGCAAGGGAGTTGAAGCTACATGATCTTAATATGATTCTTTGATCCTTTCTTGCTCTACAACTTGGATGTGAGTGTAATTCAAGTCCAGAAGATGCTAAGAATGGCAAGTCATAGTTGACCAAGCTGTGGTCTGGAGCAGTGGCAAACACTAAGTGGCTGTGTTTACATGGGCTGGACACGGGTATGCTTCCATGCTTTGGATACTGGGTGTGTCTTACCTGGGTGCTAAGTCCTGGGTAAAAAATGTGAGAAAATTATGCCTCTTTTAGGTTAGAAAACCTAAGAATTTTTCCTTAAATAAGAGATATCAAGGATAAAGTCTAAGGGCCAGATTGTCAATGGCAGTTAGGCACTTTACTGCTCTAGACAATGAAATATCCAAAAGCCCATCAAATGCATTAGCCATTAGTGAATGCATTTTATACAAGTCACTTGGTCAGCTAGTGCCAGACTTGTGCGCCCTTCGGTTGGCAGTGTCCCCAGTAACACCTACAGAATGTGGACCATCTGCTGAGGGAGAGAGGAAAAAACTACAGCACTGAGCTGCATCAGGTCTGCAAAGAAACAGAGCTTTAAGCAATCATAGTAAGTAGAAACGCTGCAGCTGAGGCAGGAGCAAAGAATGGAGGAACCACAGTGAGAAAGACAATTACAAGAGCAAAGAAGAGAAGGGAAACAAAACAAAACAAAACAAATGTAAGAACTGTATTTAACAAAATGCAGCCTGGAAGGTCACCAAATTACAGGAAAGTGAAACAGACATACGAAATAACATCATTGTAAAAAAAAAAAAAAAAGGTGCTTAAATAATGTGTGTCATGTATCCTCACATCACAGTTAACCGCAGTTACCTCTTTGTTTTATTTTGGTTAGCAAAGTAGCTCCCTGAGCTAGTCTCTTTGAGTCAAAGAAGCATTAAATCTGATGTAGTTCACCCACGTGTGTACGTGTGCTGGAGGTTTATCCCATTTCATCTTATTGCAGTTTGAGAATCTTACTCACTGTCTCGGTGCTGTGGTGAACCTGTGATAATGGGCTTCCTCCACTGCCTCTTCCCAACATTAAGGGTAAGAAGCTGCTTTTTCACTTACGTACCACTCAGTGACTTGAATGGCCATCTAAACACACTGCAGGCATGGTGCTCATTGACTTGAGCTCAGCACTGCAAGGACATTTATCCCTTAGAGCCTCTGTGAATGGCTGTGTGTCTCGTACAGCAGTGGAGAAAGGAGACGTGAGTGATGTGGGTGGTGGGTAGCAATGAAGTAATGTGGAGAGGGTGATATCATGGTATGGGCGAGAGCTTCAGAAGTAATTTATTGGCACAAGTTTAGCTTGGGTTTCCTTAGGAAACAAGGCTTATACAGTCACACTGGGTGTATATGTGTGCACATGCTGTAATGAGGGAGAGGCTGCAGCTTTTGAGTAATCCTTATTAGGCACCGGAGAGCCCAAAGGAGTGATATTTACAATGCCCCAAGAATGCAGAAAGCTTTGGTTTATTAAATGACAAAGAATGTATCCACCCATGTATACTAGCATCAGTCCACAATTCATTTGCTCTACTTAAGCAACAGCTTGTTACCTTATTTTGGTCACACAGCCACTTGGCATACATGTTTGTATCCCAAAATTTGCAATCCTGTACGTAAAACAAAATGTTTGGTATAGAAGTGGTGGTAACTGGGAACTGAATGTCAGCAGGAATTAAATATTAATGTACGTAATAGAACAATATCTTTTCCATGGAGCAATGGTTCCCATTTTTTTTGGTCCACCAGAGCACTGCAACCTTCAAAGTCTCAGGCAAACATCATTCAACCTTATAGAAGAGCTTTTCACTGGAAGCGTTTTATATAGTTGTATAGCCAGCAATGATGAATCACCATCTTCAGTACGACCACAGTTCAAAACCAGAACTGTGAATGCATTTGCTAACCCCTTATTCTAGTGCTTCTGGTTCAGACCCCTTCTTGGGGTTCCATCATGAAAGAGCAGTGATTCCTGACAGAATTCTTATTGCTTAGCTAGTATACATTATTCCTTTGCAGTTTACATTTAAAAATGTTAAAAGCAAGTTTGTTGGAACAAAAGCAAACAGTTTATCAGATATGTGGGTAAGCCTGATCTAATGCTACTTGTGAGAATGACTGAATTCAGATGTATCTGCCTATCCAGGGAATCAACAAATCAATCCAAAACAAAGGTGAGTTTAAAAAAAAAAAAAAAAAAAGACACTGAGAACCACACTGCTCAGCATCAGCAGTGGAATAGTTAACATCTCTTAGGCTGGATTTACAGGCCAGTACCACCCTCAGACAAAATCAGAACATGCTGGGGGGGATGCTTTATGAAAGCGTACTCCTAAAATCAAAACAGAGCAAGACCACCAGGCTTGAGTGAGCACAGCGAGACAGCACAGAGCTAGCCCCATCCAGGATAACTCTTTTCTAGAGCTTGTCCCTTCCAGCAGGGCACTGGGATTATCTCTGGTCCTGGGAGCACATACCAGCACCTCCTACCAGCATCCTCCACAGCACATACTTGCACTCAGGGCACAGCTTTCAGTTACAACCAACCTTAAAACCCAGGGAACAGCCCTTGACAACTGATGTCACTTGCTGTAACAGCAGATATTTCTGTGTTTTAGAATCATAGGATCATTAAAGTTGGAAAAGACCTCTAAGATCACCAAGTCCAAGCCCAAATCATCCCCACCATGCCCGCTAACCACATCCCTCAGTGTCACATCTCCAGTCTGGAATACCTCCAGAGACAGTGACCACACCACATCCCTAGGCATTATTCTGCATAAACATTTTGCATAGCATATACTGTAGATGATCAAATGCCCTGCAGTAAGAACAGCAGAAGTGATTTGGCCTGTTTGCCCACTTTGAACAGATAAGATGTGAAAGTCACACATTCTGAAGTTTATTTTTTTCTAAAAGCCTTGTTTTTGCGCTGAATGTTAACAGACTCCAACAGCCCGTCTTCTTTATTTGCCGAGACTGGCCTTTTTAGGGGTTAAATGAGTGTTCATATATCAAATGCTCCTTGGACATTAAGGATTAGATTTTTGGTTTGAACTTATGAACTCACTGGACTCGATGTTTAAGACTTTTTCCAACCTGAGTGATTCTACGATTCGTTTCTGCACCAGGCTCTTCTCCATTGGACAGCCAGTCCGTGCTGCCAGGTCCTGCTGCTGGGCTGGGAACTTCAAGCTAAAGATACTAAGGATCACAGGTATTTACATGCAGAGGACCACTGCCAGCCTTTCCAGGTGGGACAGCCCAGCCCACGGCGCTGGCAGACCGCTGTTCCCTCCGCTAACGCTGTATGGACACGGGCTCTCATAACGACTTACGTACACCTCCCCGCTTCCCTGCATAACAGCCTACAGCTACACTCCGACCCGCCCGAGGTCGGACCAGGCACTCCGCTTCGGGACGAAGCCCACTTCCCCCTCCAGGGGGCCGCCATCCCACCCCGCCCCGCGGCGCGGTGGCAGCGGGCGGGCCGAGGAGGGGCCGGGGCCGGGCCCGGGGCGGGGGTAGGGGCGGGGGTCGGGCCGGGGGTGGAGCCGCGGGCTGGCGGGTCGGGGCGAGGGGGAGACTTCCCCTTCCCTTGCTGAGCGAGCCGGAGAAGGCGCCTCCGCGACTCCTCGTGCCCCGCCGGTGCCGCCAGCCCGCAGCATGGTGAGGGGCCGCCCGGCCAGCCGGCGGGAAGTTTGGCGGTGGCGGCGGTGTCCCCTCCCGACCCGCGCTCACCGCCAGCCCTCCCCGCTCCTCTCTTGCAGATCTGGAAAACTCTCCCGCTGCTCTGTGCCCTGCTGGCCGTCGCCCGGCTGCGAGCGGAGGTAGGCGGGGGCCGGGGCGGGGGGCTCCGCCGGGCCTCTCTCGGGCCGGATGGCGGCGGGGTCGAGGAGGGGACGGCCGGCGGGACGGGGGCTGCGGGCTGAGAGCGCCGGGCGCGGGCTGGGAGCCCCCTGCCGCTCCGTCTCCCTTTCCTTCTTTCTTTCTTTCTTTCTTCTTTTTTTTTTTTTTTTTTCCTTTTTTTTTTTTTCCCCTTCCCCTCGCTTACTGCAATGACCTTTTTCAGGCAGCGAAAGCCATTAGCCCCCAAACTCGTAAACCCAAAGGTCTGTTGACAGAAAATAAACGGTGCCTGAATTCCCGGCGCTGCAGGCTCCGTAAAAGTGAGGTCAGGAACAAAATATTTGATAATTGTGGCAGGGAAATGTGGAAGTGATTTGGAGCAAATGAACACAAGCTGGGCTGGGGGGGCGGCCGGGCGTGCTCTGCTCGGCGAAGCGGTCCCGGCGGGGGGGACGGGCTGGGGCGGCTTCCCGCGCGCATTTTTTCTCCCTACATATTTCTCCCAGATGGCCGGCCCCGCCCTCCAGCATCGCAGCTTGGCTCCGCGCAAAAATGTATAAACACTTCTGGTTTCCTACAGAGAGTTGCCTTTCTCTGCCTCCCAGCCCCGTGCCGCTCTGCCCGCCTTGTGGCAGGGATGGGGAGCGCCCATTGGAGTCCCCACGAGCGCTGGCCCCGTTCCACTCCCATTGCAGCCCTCGAGGAAACTGAGGGACCAAGCGGTAGGGTGGGCCGGTGGGCCGGTGTTTCTGCTGCACGTACCTTGTCACATTGTAAGGGACTTTCTGCTGTAGGCATGGCATACTAACATAGTCGGTGTTTGTGTGTGCTGTCCTGAAAAAGCCGGAATAAAGCCATAAACAAGCCTTAACTGGTTGTGGTCAGTGTAGTGAAACCTCTGAAGAAAGGAAGTGTCAGTAGTGCTTCCATAAGGTCACAGAATCATTTGAGTTGGAGGAGATCCTTAAAGGGAGTCTAGTCCAACTCTTCTGCAATGAACAGGGACATCTACAGCTGTGGAGCAGTGACAGGGCTCTGAGTGAAGTGTGTTGCAGTCAGTGATTTGCAGAAACGTGGCAAGGATGTGTCTGGCCTCTAGTTTCTGATTTCACCAGTTGTGTTGACTCAGTTGAAATTTTAGCTGTTTTTCATCTACTATACTCCAGTTCTGAGAATCTAGAAGGTGGCCCAAGTATAATCATGCTAACATTTCCAAACCGTCAGTGTCCTCATTTACAAACTGAGAGTAAGACAAATGTGAGCTGTTGTGCTCAAAACTTGGTTGTAAAGGCTGGTTGGTGCCTGAGCTGATACATTAATCATAGAATCACAAGGCTGGAAAAGACCTACAAGATCATCTAATCCAACTGTTCTCCCATTACCCTTGCTACCATAAGCCTCTAACCCGTATCTCATAGCTCCTCATCCAGACGCCTCTTGAACACTGCCAGAGACAGTGACTCCACCACCTCCCTGGGCAGCTATTCCAGTGCCTGACCATTCTCTGAGAGAAAAAGTGACTTGGCTGCTCTCAGAGATGATGATCCGTGTGTCAAAGCCGTGAATGTTTTGGTTCAAGTTCAGAATAACTTTAGAGGGGAGAACTGATGCCTCAGACAGCTTTTCTGTTAGGGTTCCCTTGCTGCTGGGTGGTGAGCACCAGCTAACTTGCAGGAACTACCACCTGGGATATTGGGACCTTCTTGTTGTATGAGGAAAGTGGGTTGTGCTTCAAGGTGGGCTGCTCGCATTCAGAGGCACATTTGGCTGTTAGCCCCCTCTAGATGTTCTTGATTTCACCCCTGTGTCCCTGGCATTTAGCAAGATTCACGTGGTGTTTCCCCTCTCCTAGATTTTGGAAGTGATGGCTCTATTTCTACTGTTCCTGCTGCAATCTGCACTTAACAACTTTCAGTACGTTCAGAATATTAACGCTGAGCCTTGAGCTTCTAATCCATTTGTAGGCAAAACCATATCTGAATATTACTGGCTTTTGTTCCAGGGCTCATTTCTACAATGTTAGGTGCATAATTCAAGTCTTGAAAGAAAGAAAGAAATTGCTTCAGTCGATGTTCTTGGCATGACTTTGTGCAGACTGGAAAATCTGAGACATGCCAAAATGTGGGAGCTTTTCTTGGCCCAGTTCAGTAATAGTCACAAGAGCAATAGATGGTGAACTGTGTGCCTCGGCCAGAGGCCAGCCACCAGCCCCAAGCGGTGTGTTGTGTGTCTCTTCCTGGGTCAGACTGTCAGAGGAGGCCATTTGCTGGTATCAGTGGGGTCCTGTGGATGTGAGGCAGTTGTGTTCTCAGCTGGGTCTTTAGTGAGCAGACAGTGATCTGGGGGAATCATCCATCACAACAGAGGAAAAGGGAGAGGCTCAGAATGTCTGATGAATGCATTGCAGGTGAATCGGTAGGGCTGTAACGCAATCGATCAGACGTTTCCTGCTGGAGCAGTTACCAAGTTAGTGCTGGAAAGGAGTCTGCTCACTGTTGAACTGGGCCCGGGAGGTCTGTAGGTTGGTGTGTGGGAACACCATGCTTACACCGGTGTCATCATATGTCCCATCAGGATACTTGCTTTTCAGCGTGAATTTTAAATGTTAATGATGAGATTTATGCCAGCACGGGTATATTGATGCAAGCTGTGGGTGGACGTTTGCCTGTTTGCTATTCATTCAGATTAATACCTAAAACCTGTAGCTACTCCCCTGACCTATCCTTAACCCATTTCTGGCCAAATGAGACTGCCTTTGGAAGGCATACTGTAAACAGTGTGAGTTGATTTAGCTCACTTTGGCCAGAAATGACTGGAGGAGGCGGTCTACAGGATCTCTTGTCATGAGAAGATCTACTGACAGATCTGAGGGGTTACAACCCCCAGGCAGCACAGTGATGACAAGCATTTGGGACCAGATTTATAACCTTTTCTAATAGTGCACGCTGCAAACACTGCACATCTGTTGTAACCCTGGGATTAATTTTTTCACCCCACCTCCTTTTCCCTCTGTATAATCTTTCCACACGAAAAGCTGAAAAGAGGTGTTGGGGGGCAGAAAAGACCAAGTTTCCAGCCAAGTTCTGTTTGTGTAACTCACCTGAGCTCTTCCTCTTCATCCAGCTTGACTCCTGTACATAACGACAACCACACTCCCCTCCCTCCAGGGTCCTGTGCCACTCTTCCAGCACAGAGCCTCTGTGCCCTGGAGATATGGGGCTGGTTGTTCAGCTGGTCTCCATAAAGCTGGGTGTGCTTCCTCCCATTGGGCTGCTTGCAGGGCCTGGCCAGCACCAACAGCTTGCTTTCATTATGCTTTTCCCACGTTCTTGCACTGATGGAAACGAAAAAACTGCTGTCTTAATAAATTACGCTTAATGAATTACAGCCGAGATCCTGGTGTACTTGCACAGCTCTAGGACAAAGCTGTAATTTGGACCTCAAGCTATTGTTTTAAGAAATGTCTGTTTCCCTCTGGAATTTATTGGTAAACCCTCTGTGATAGTTTTGTCCAGGGCAGTGGAAAGAAAGGGTGCTTCTAAGGTTTTTAATGGGTGTGCTGTGGATGATTTGAGAGCTTGGGTGCTGGCAGATAAAGCACATAGTTCATTTAGGACACCTCGTGTTGAACTCCCTGGCCAGATGCCTCATGTTTCTTTCTACAGGGACCATAACCTCTGAGCAGCAGCATCCGTGGTGCAAGCTGTGACACAGGAGTGATGTGCAGTGCTCAGGTGCATGTGACGCCCTGATGCTGCTCTGCAGATGGAGCTGTAGTTTGCCATTGGTCTTGAGCTGCTTTCTGCAAATTCACTGTGGTTGAGTGAATGACTTTATCTGCCAAGGTGCAAATTCCTTGCTGGTGATTAACGTAAGGTTGGCTGAAAGGCTTTTCTTGCCTGTTGCATTCTCCAGCTGCTGTTATTGGTACAGCTGCGTGCCCATCAGGAGGCATGGAGGCACCTTTGATCTTTCTTGCATGGTATTACATGAGCTGAGGAATGTTTCTCTTTGTGCAGAAGAGAGTTTATGACAAACCTCAGCCAGATGAGTTCTTCAGGCTCACGAGACTCGTGTTAACTAGGCTGCTTTAGCTCACACATCCTGTAAGCTAAATGAGATGGGTTCTCACAAGTGCCTCATATAGCTGGGTTGCAGCATCTGCCTTCGCAGAGGTGTCAGCTTCTGCTGCACTGGCATGTCTGAGCTACACCGTGAATAACCAGCACCTCTCTGGACAGATTAATCCCTCAAATCATTGTCTCCAAGCTTAGCAGAAGAAAAGACTGGAATGCTGTTATGCTGTGAAGCACCTTACAGAGCCAGCTCTGCGTGGCAGACACTGGGATATATACGTCAG